GGAGGCCTTCAAGGAGATGGTTTGATACGGTGGCTGCGATGATGGGCTCAAGTATAGCGGGGATTGTGGGGCTGGCGTGGGATCGGGCAGTGTTTCGTTCTGCTGTGCATGGGGTCACTATGAGTCGGAAACAACTCGATGGCACTTAACAACAACAACAACAACAACATGGAAGAAAATAATAAGAAATCTTTGACAACTTCAATCTTTTCTCTATTTATCATGATGCTGCTTATTGGTGCAGTTGTGAGGATTTTTGTTTTCTTTATATTGACATGTAATCCATATTGCAGAATGGTGTCTTTAATCTTCATCAATAAGTGTTTCAAGTCATCCTCACTTCCAGTAAGCAAAGGTGTGGTCAGCATATCACAAGTTGCTTAAGAGTCTTCCTTCAATCCTGATGTCACACTCTTCTTCATATAGTCTACCTTCTCAGATTATTTTCTCAGCATACAAATTGAATAACTTTGGCAAAAGGATACAACCCTGACACACTCCTTTGCTAATTTTAAACCACACGGTATCCCCTTGTTCTGCTTGAATGACAGCCTTCTGGTCTATGTATAGGTTCCTCATGAGCACAATTAAGTGTTCTGGAATTCCCATTTTTTGCAACGTTATTGCAGTGAATTGCTTGATGGGGCCCTTCTAGCCATTGTCCTCCATTCTGTGATGTACTGTAAATCCTATTATCCATGCCTGTTTGGGGTGGTGTGGTAGTTAAGGTCAGGTGTCAGCTTGTCTGGGCAGCTGGTAGTAGTGTTCCCTGTAATGACTGGCAATCGGCTCTGTGGTGGGATTTGCCTTGAACAACTGAGTGACTGCTGATTGTTAAAGCCATCCACTTGGGTTATTTCTGTTGGAGCAACACAGATGGAATGCATCTTGAGTCCTGCCTTGCTGGAGGGTATAACTCAAATCACCACCCTTAGCTTCCTTGAGGGTATACTTACGAATCTCCTGGGAAGTTTTGCCCTTCTCTTGCTCCGGTTCCATGTTTTGACTTATCCTCATCTCACCCCTGGATTTGGGACAGCAGCGGTCATCTGATCTGCTGATCGAGGTTCATCAACCCTTGAGAATTGGGAGGATCTTCCAGATCCACTCATGGGCCCGGGACTTGCCAGCCTGCCAGCCTCCACCACTACTACGTGAGACAATCGCTTGGGTGTCTGTGAGTTCTGTGAGGCGTTACAGCAAAATACAGAACCCTAAGATGGGAGGAAATTACTAGGAGGAGGAAGAGTTAATGTCTGAAATGATGGAGTGGCACTGTAGTTTGGACATTTGGGACATCTTTAACCTCTGTCTCATGGGGACAGGCCTTGTGCTGATCTTTCTGAGAGAAATTGTTCAAGCAGTTATACATAAGTATTATGAGCCAAACAATTGAATCTTTTGCATAGTCAATAAAACACAGGTAAACATCTTTCTGGTATTCTTTGCATTCAGCCAAAATCTATCTGACATCAGCAATGATATCACCTGTTCCACATGCTCTTCTGAATCCAGCTTGCATTTCTGGAAGTTCCCTGTCAATATACTGGTGGAACCATTTTTGAATTATCTTCAGCAAAATTTTAATAATTTCCACATTCTGTTGGATCATTTTTCTTTGGAATGGGAACAAATATAGATCAGGTAGCTTCCAAATTTCTTGGCAAAAATGAGTAAACACCTCCAGCACTGCATCCGTTTGTTGAAACATCTCAATGGGTATTCTGTAACTCCTTGTAGCCTTGTTTTTCACCAATTCTTTCAGTGCAACTTGCACTTCTTCCTTCAATACCATTGGTTCTTGATCATATGCTACCTCTTGTAATGGCTGAACATCGACCAATTCTTTTTGGTACAGTGACTCTGTGTATTCCTTCCATCTTCTTTTGAAGCTTCCTGTATCATTCATTATTTTGCCCAAGAATCCTTCTATATTGCAATTGGAGGCTTGAATTTTTTTTTAATTCATTTCTTTCAGCTTGAGAAATGCTGAATATGTTCTTCACATCTGGTTTTTGAATGCCAGGTCTTTGCACATTTCATTATATTTTATTTTGTCTTTGCAAGCCACCCTTTGAAATCTTCTCTTCAGTTCTTTTGTTTCATCATTTCTTCCATTTGCTCTCTCTCCATTTAAGAGCAAATTTCAGAGTCTCTTCTGACATCCATTTTGGTCTTTTCTTTCTTTAATGTCTTTTTAATGACCTTTTGCTTTCTTCGTGGATGTTCTTGATGTCATCCCACAATTTATCAGCTTTTTGGGCACTGTCATTCAATGCATCTAATCTATTCATCAGATGGTCTCTAAAAGCTGGTGGGATATAATGAAGATTGTATTTTGGCTCTTGCGGACTTATTTTAATTTTCTTGAGCTTCAATTTGAACTTGCCTATAAGCAGTTGATGGTCTGTTCCACAGTCAGCTCCAGGCCTTATTTTGACTGATGATATTAAGCTTCTCCAGTGCCTCTTTCCACAAATGTATTCAACTTGATTCCTGTATATTCCATATGGGAGCTCTGGTAGCATAGTGCCTAAGGCACTTGACTGCTAACCAGAAGGCTGGTGGTTCAAACCTAGCAGCCACTCCTTGGAAGGAAGATTGGGCAATCTACTTCTGTAGTGATACTGCCTCAGAACCCCAAGGAGGGATCATTATGAGTCAGATCTGACTTGACTGCAGTGAGTTTGGTTTTTGGTATATTCTATATGGTGAGGTCCTTGACTCCATTTATATGTTGAAAAAAAAAAGGTATTTTCAATGAATAAGTTGTTGGTCTTGCAAAATTCTATCTTGTGATCTCTGGTGTCATCTCTAGCACCAATGCCGCATTTTCCAACTACCAATGATTCTTCTTTGTTTCTAACTTTTGCATTCCAATAACTGGTAATCATCAATGTTGGTCACCTTCAGACTTCAGAAGTTGGTAAAAATCTTCAATTTCTTCATCTTTGATTTTGGTGGTTGGTGTATGCATTTGAATAATAATAGTATTAACTGATATTTCTTGTAGCCATATGGATATCATCCTATCACTGACAGCACTGTACTTCAGAATAGATCTTGAAATATTCTTTTTGAGGATGAATGCAATGCTATTCCTCTTCAACCTATCATTTCTGGAATAGTAGACCACATAACTGTCTAATTAAAAATGTCCAATACCAGTCTATTTCAGCTCACTAATTAATGCCTATGATAGCAATCTTTATGTGTTTTGTTTCATTTTTGACGACTTCCAATTTTCCTACATTCATCCATCGTACATTCCATGTTCCGATTAATGAAGGTTTGCATCTGTGTCTTCCCATTTTAAGTCATGCCCCATGAGCAAATAAACCTCCTGAAAGCTTTTCTTCATCCATGTCATTAAGGCTAACCCTATTTTGTGGCAGCAGCTCTTCCCCAGTTGTATTTTGAGTGTCTTGCAACCTGAGGGGCTCATCTTCTGAAACGATGTCAGAAAATGTTTCACAGCTATTCATGAAGTTTTCCAGCAATATATCAGACAGTGTTTCACTGCTATTCATAAACATTTCACTGGCTAATTTTTTCAGAAGTGGATAGCCCTTTTTGCCCTGTAGTCTCCTAGAATAAGAATAGATACTCTGCCTAACACGGAGTATACATTAAACAAGAATTCTTTAATGAATTGGTGAATAAAGGAATGCATTAAAAAGTAAATTGCTGTGGAATACTTTAAAGAAAAAATAGGAATCTCTCAACATCACATTTGACACCCAGTAGCACTAACACTCTGTGTTTTCCTCTCACTCCTTTTCTGAAAGCCATCCCTCTGATCTTTGTACTTTTAAGTCCCATGCCCATTTGTAATGAGCATGTCCCATACCTTGTTGGTCTCATTTATTTCTTGCCACTGAGTTAGCAGTACCTGTACTGCAGGACTGTGATCATGTTTTGCAGCAAGATGCAGGGAAGTATTTCCTTCCTGCAACAGAGACTCACTTGAGGTAGGATCCCCTGAATCAAGGAACACACCTCTTCAACAATCAGGACTGCAATGAGACTTCTCAAAGATTTCATTTGGTTAAACCTGGGGTCCTGAGTGTGCATTACATTATCCACAGTCTTAAGTAAAATTTATAAAGATTTAAATGAAAAGACATAGACTTCTTTGAGCCAGTAGAGAAAATCAGTCCATGTCTCTTGTGCTACCTTTGCTACCAATTTGTTTGCAAAAAAAAAAACCAATAAAAGTAATTCCATATAACCTATGTGAGGGTAAATGGATAAAAGATTTCTGACAGGTAGTTTTGGTATTGTGTATCAAAAGATTTAAAAATGTACAAAACTCTTTAACTTGCAATTCCACTTCTAGGAATTTATCTTAAGAAAATAATCACAGATGTTCACATAGATATGGATGTAGTGATGGTTAAGGTTGTATGTTAACATGATTGGTCTAAGATTCTCAGTAGTTTGGCAGTTATTATGTAGTCTGGCAGTTATGTAATGATGTAGTCATCCCCCACAATGAAATCTGATATACTGTGATCACCTCCGTGATGAGATCTATGAGAACCAATCAGTTAAAAGGGAATATTCTTGGAGATGTGGCCTATGTTCAATCTATACAGATGTTCTGGCAAAGTGCACTGGCTTTTTGCTCTTGATCTGGCTTGTCATCATCTGATTTCTGGCTCTTTAGACCTGAGCCTGCCATGTTGCCTATTGATCCTAGGATTCATTACCCTTCACAGAATGTGAGCTGGAAGCCTGCTGTCTTATCTGCTGATAGATGTCCACCCTGGGTGGTTCTTCTTCTTATTATTTATTTATTTATTGTGATTTGGGTGAAAGTTTACAGAGCAAATTCATTTTCCATTTAGCAGTTCATATACATTTTGTTTCATGATAGTGACTGCAATTCCCATAATGTAATAGCTATCTTCCTACTTCCTCCCTCTGGTTATCTTTTCCCTGCTTCCTTCTTTCCTATATTTCCCTGTCTTCTGAGCTATCTTCCTGTGCAAATGTTGTCCTTCTGGTTTCCCATGGTTGATTGTTCTAAGGAGTGTACCTATCTGGTATAATTGTTTACTTTATAGTCCTGCATATTGTTTGGCTGTAAGGTACATGAGTAAGTTCAATGTTAGGCCTGAAGAGTGACTAGGAGTCATAGTCTTGGGGGTTTTATCAGTCTCTATCAGACCAGAAAGCTTGGTCTTTTTTATGATTTGAGTTTTGTTCCACATTTTTCTCCCACTCTATCCTGGATCTCCTATTTTGATCCCTCTACCCTGAGGTTTTCCCTCCTCAGCCAGTAAGGCTGAGTCTCCAGTGTACCCCCAGGGATAGTGGAAAAACCTATGTAAGCTAGTGACTTCACAAACATTTATGGAGCTAAAACTGTCAATCTTGACAATCCCTTGCAAATGTGGATTAATTTCAGCTTGCTATCCCATGATTCTCTCTGACTATAGGAATAGTTTAACAACTCTACTGCTGATCAAAATGTCATCACCAAATTGATGCACCAATTGTTACTCCCTCCACTACTGTGATTACCCTTTCTCTTGTTCTCACCAAAGAAATAGAAGTCCAACTCACCTTGTCCTTTTCTGAAGTGTGCAGATTACAGGAGATAGGTTTTTCAATCATTTCAACATGGCCCTTTTCAGCTGCCAAAAAAAAATGGCTTTCTTCCTTTCTAGAAATCAATCACAAACTTCTAGCATTTATTACACACTCCCTGAACAAGCCACACAAGTGATAAGGCTGGTATCATTTTAACCCCACATTCTGGTTACTGCTAAAACGTTCCTCGTGTTCAAGGTGAGTGAGGAGGGAGCCAAGATGGTTCTTCTGGTCATGGCATTCCAAGCCCTTCTGAAGAAGTATGCTGACAATCTTTCCTCATCTTCTGATCTCTAAGCCACATCCAGTTGTAGGATGTCACTCCATGCTGTGGCAGAGTTGACATAAGCATGGAGTCTGTTTCATGGGGGCAGAGAAGTACTATTCAGAAAAGGTCCTCCCAAGCCCCAGGGTAGTCACTACACCACAGGCAGACAGTGAGATTGCTTTTCAAATGCAGACATTTTATGAACTCTCTGTATTTATTTAATAGTTCTTCCACTCAACTATTTATTGAGAATCTACCATGTGCCAGACTCTGTCTTAGGCATCTGTGCAATGTATCAGGCCTTGCCTTACTGTTTAAAATGTTTGAAACAGATATTCTCAAGGGTTTAATATTTATGTGGCTTGGTCAGACATGACATTTTATCAAATGACTCTTTTTAGTCCTTCTCTGCTCATCTATTTCTCTCCAAGGTCCACCAAGAGTCAACAGGAAAACTCTTGAGAATGGGCCTATATGAAACAGAATGGAGAAATCAGACATTAACCAGAGAACATAGTCTAAGATGGGGTGTTTAGGTGTGATTTGTTAGAAAGGGAAGTTCAAATATAGAATTTTCTCATTATGGTAACTTCTTCAACTTTTCATGTAATCAATGAAGACTGCGTTTGCAATAGCTAAAATGTCATCAAGATCCATAGAAAACTTAATTGTATAATTCAAGATGTTTAAAAGGAAAAAAAGAAAGTTGAAATGGCAAAATGGAGGAAGGAGGGTCACTTAAAGGGAAGAAAGCATTCACAAATTGACATGGCATGTTACAGCTACAAGCTTAGCAAGATGTCTCCAACTTGAAAAAAAGATACAAGCCTCTTTATAATAAGGTTCTTAAGTCTGAGATTTGCCATCTGATCTCCTGCTAATGCAGCATAATGAAAAGATCATGGTCACTGTTAACTTGAGATAACAGCTCACTATTTCTCAATAACAGAAACTAGAGGAAAAAGGAAGAAAATTCCGAAACAATAAATAACACACACATGCACATGCACACACACAAAAGTCTAGAGGGGTCAGTTCTATGGGGTTTTGCATTTGTGCATGTATGGAAAATAGAGAAACAAATTGACAACAAAATATTCACCTAATTCACCCTTCCTTGACCAGATATGTTGCCAATATGGCACAAGTCCCCAATCCATCAAAGTTTGAAAGCTTGATTCTCTTCAATTTCATTAAATCATTAAGAAAGGGCAAAGGGAAGAAACAGAGACTGCTCAGGACCACAGTTTGCCTACTCATAACTTATAACCATGAACAGTCATGAGCCATGAACATCTTTGGAAATGATAGACCAAAAATTATTGCATGTGATTTATATAAATATCTGCATATGGTGTCCATAGATAAATGTCCATATAAACAAATCACAAAACTGAAATGAAAGACAATTGACTTACAGATTAAAACATTTGGTCACACATCCTTATAAATCATGCACTGAATTCTTCAACAATTACTGAGTATGATCCAGGTATTGTGTTAAGCAATAGAGTAGCCAAGAAGAAAAATATATTGCCATTTTCTCATGAAGAACAGAATTCAATAGGGGAGACAGACATATAAGCAAATTAATTATAATTATAATGTAATGTAGTAATTGAGTTCTGGTGATATGTAGGGTATAAAACTTAGCAGGAGTGTGTGAGTGTGAATGGGGAGGCAAACAACAAGAAAACATGAAAAGGGCCTTTAAAGGATGCTAACACACTGGAACAGGGAAAAAGAATACTTGTTAGCTGTTTTCTGTCCAGCATCTTTGAATGGCCCCTGTTCTACTTTGTGGCACTGTTAAGGATATGCTCCAGCCTCTCCTGCAATTCAACCTTGGCCACAGAGTTTTGGTTCAAGGCAGCGTACTAGTCACAGTGATTGGTTCAAGATAGGGCATATGAGTCAAGCAGGGCCAAACAGTCATTCCTGAGATTTATATATGAACATTTGATGAGAGAGGAATTTTCTTTCTTATGAATCAATGGTTGTATGACAAGTCACACCAATCAGAGTTAACTGTGGGATTTTTTTTATGACACATTCTATTTTTAGGTTGGGCAATCTACTTCCGTAGTGATACTGCCTTGGAAACCCAAGGAGGGGTTGCTATGAGTCAGGTCCAACTTGATGACACATAACAACAACAACATTTTTATTCTAGGTCATCAGCTAAACCATGAGTAGCCCTCTTTGACACCTGCTCAGGAGTGTCTGCCTAAGAATGAAGCCAATACAGTGGAACCCCAAAACCCAAACCCACTGCCATTGAGTGGATTCTGACTCATAGCAACCCCCATTGGGTTTTCCAAGGCTGTAAATCTTTACAGAAGTAGATTGCCTCATCTTCCTCCCGAGGAGCAACTGGTGGATTTGAACTGCTGATCTTCAGAAAAAGAGTCAAAGAGCCCTGATGACATCATTTTGAGCTCCTGGATTCAGAAACTCCTGAAGATATCCATGCCTGGATTTTTCAACTGAATGAGTCAACACATTTCACTCCCCCATCCCATTCCCCCCAGATTAGTTTGACTTGTGTTTCTGCACCTTGACGAAATGGTCATATCTTACAGAATTATGTGAGTGACTGCAATACAAATCAGGGTATTGAATGAACAAAACATTCAGACTTATAAAATTACCACAGGCCACACTTGGCATGGTTGACTCAGAAGATGTAGGACATTAAACACAACTTGTCATAATCAGCTCTCCCTCTTCATACCACAGACCATGTAGCCCTCCAGGAGCTATTCTCTTTGGTCCCCCAGCTGACACTCAGTTGCAAGATGACAAGATCTACATTGTGAGAGTTTGGGGGCCATCCTGGCATAGATGATCCCAAGGACATGCCCACTTACAAGATTCACTGCACTATGAGAAGCCCAAAGTATGGCTTCCCCTCTGGTATTTATAGTTCATCTGTAGTTCTTCCCAACCAAGAGGCAATTTACCAATTAGGGGTCATATCTATCACAAGCAATGATGCTTAGTAACATAGCCAACATTCTATTTTTATCAGGTTGGCAGGTACACAGAGCCAGAAAGTTAACCAAAGTGTAAATGCTCATGCAGAAGGAAAAGAGGTGGTGTTAGCCCTGTACCCACAGAAATTATAAATAATACATGAGGGTGTCGTGCCCTGTAAGAGATATTTGTTGCTTTTGCATCAGTGTTTACCATTTTTAAGTAATGGCACTTTGATTTTCCTTTGGAGAATCCATCCTATTGCCATTTATTCTATTTAGTGTTGTCAACTGCAAGATCTCCCCTACCTGCCTGCCTTCTGACACATGAAGTAACATAACCCATGTTAAACTCACTGCTGTCAAGTCGAGTCTGACTCATAGCAACCTCTCCTTGGGTTTCTGAGGTGGTATCACTATGGAAGTAGATTGCCCAACCTTCCTACTGAGGAGTGGCTGGTGGGTTTGAACCACCAGACTTCTGGTTAGCAGTCAAATGTCTTAGGCACTATGCCACCAGTGCTCCTTAACCCATATTAGTTCATATTAAAAGGCAGCATACTAATCACTGTGTTTGGTTCAAGATAAGGCATATGATTCAAGCAGGGCCAGACAGTCATTCCTGAGATTTATATATGAACATTTGATGAGAGAGGAATTTTCTTTCTTATGGATCAAAATCCACAAGGATATCAACTTGAGACCACAGCAGCCATCTTTTCCACCATGTGGGGAGTATATCTATAAATAATGCTGACACATAGAGAGCCAAGAATTGGAGAAAGAAAGAGAGCTGGATACAGCCATGCCTGAAGCTAGTGTACCCTTGAACTCTTTAGTGAAAAAAACAAAATCAAATCCATTATCATCAAATAGATTCTGACTCATGTCGATCCCATGTGTGTCAGAGTAGAACTGCCTCATAGGGTTTTCTTGGCTGTAATCTTTACAGAATCAGATTACTAGGTCTTTCTTCCATAGTGCCAGTGGGTAAGTTTGAACCTCCAATCTTTAGGTTGGTGAAAAAAAAAGCAAGCTCACTGCTGTGGAGTTGGCTCTGACTCATAGCGACCCCTCCTTGGGTTTCTGAGGCAGTATTTCTACAGAAGTAGATTGCCCAGTTTTCCTTCTGAGGAGTGGCTGGTGGGATTGAACCACCAGCCTTCTGGTTAGCAGTCAAATGCCTTAAGCACTACGCCACCAGAGCTCCTTTAGGTTGGTAGATGAGTGCAAAAAGTAAATTACTTTTCATTGCTTAACCTACTTTAAGCTGGATTTTTATTACTTGCAACAGTAGGAGTTGTGGCTAGCACATATTTATTAGTTTGGGGACAAACATTACTAGATAACTGGAAGTACCAAGCATCTGCTCAACTTTGAAATGACCTTTATTTTTCACCCTGGTTGCAAGAAAGCTTTGCATTTCTGCATAGCTAAACAAAGTAACAGAAGATCCACCACAAAGAAAGTCTAGTCTGATAAGAAAGGGGAGGTTATGGAAAAAGACAGTTATTTCAGATGGAAACATCTTTCCTCTCCAAGAAAACAGCAGCTATTGTAACCTTTGGATGCCCTTTTAAAATATTATTGTCAAGGCAAAAAATAATAAGGATATTAAAAAGTTGTCTATATATCTGATAAATTATCAAAAGGTAGCTTAATGAAAGATGAGGTGACAGATACATACAGTAAAATGAGACAGATCTCTCCCATCTCTAGTACATGTTGCTATGCAAAAAGCAATAGGAATTTTAAAGGCCTGTGTGTACGTATTTTTAAAAATAGTTTCTTTTCAAGCCTTATTTCATTTTTATCAGTCACAGGAGCACTGTATGTTGCCACTCCAGCCCTTTTTATATATGTTTGTGGGAAAAACAAGTCCCTGTGGAGTTGATTCCAACTTACGGCGACCCCATGTGTTTCAGAGTAGGACTGTGCTCCAGTGGCTGATTTCTTTTTGGAAGTAGAGTGCCAGGTCTTTCTTCCAAGGCACCTCTGACCATTTAGAACCACCAACCTTTCAGTTAGCAGCAAGAACATTAGCCACTTGCTTACCACCCATTACTCATTAGCATAACCACTCATTACCCATTTGCGTCATGATTCCAACTCAAAACAACTCTATAGGAGAGTGGAACTGCCATACAGGGTTTCCAAGGCTGGTTTTTGGTTTTATAAAACTTTACAGAATCAGATTGCCACATCTTTCTCCTGTGGAGTGGCTAGTGGATTCAAACCATCGGCCTTTTGGTTAGCAGCAAAGTGCTTAAGTGCTGCACCACCAGGGCTCCTTTGTACCACCTAGCGACTCCAATTATGTTCAAGTAGGCCTCTACCTAAGGAGCCCTGGTGGCACAACAGTTAAGTGCTCAGCTGCCAACCGACCTAGGGACTATGAGTGAGAAAGACCTGGTGATCTGTTCCCATAAATAATACAGCCAAGAAAACACTATAGGTCATTTCTA